TTCAGGTTTCTCTTGAAAGCATCTGCAGTGTTAGAAAAGACATTTGTCACAGATTAGGGACAGCTTGTCTTCTTAAGACAGTGGAATTTGAGGTATGTATGTACTAGTGACGGTATAAAATCCCATGTATGGCATGTGAGGGTTCAGAAAGTTGATGGATTCAGTATCTGTTGTTTTGCTGGCCTAGCAAAGCTGGATGCTGATGGTTTGAAGCTGGAGTTACTGTTTGGAGGGAAGAGGCTAGAGGGTGCTCTTGCCCACAGTTCTGCTGGCAGATCAGGAGTAGTGCCAGCTGGATGGGATGGAAGGAAAGCAGGGATCAGGCACTGAGAGCAGCCTCAGTGTCCCTGCTGAGCTTTGTTCCCAGCAGAGCTCACACCTTGCACTGCACTCACAGCTCCTGAGGGGTGCTGTGTGCCCTCAGAGGTGAGCACACAACTGGGAATGGCTGAGCTGAACTGAGCAGAACCCAGGGCTGGTGCAGCATCACCCTCTGCTCCCTGCAGTTCCCTGCTGGGGCTCTGGCTTTTTCCCTCTTGGAGAAAGACTTGGTTCTAACAGCTGGTGCTTCCAGCATTGGGAGCAGCAGTTCTAGCTGCCTTTAATGCCAGCTTGGCTTCCAACCCTGCTTTTCCCCCAGGCTAAGAGCTCTTTCCTCTTCAGTCACTGCCCAGGATTACCCAGTAGATGAGTCTTCAAATGAGCCACAAAACTGGAGCTGTCACCACCTTCTCAGCTTTTCCAGCCTGGCAATGCTGCTGAGCACTTCTTGTTTATGTTCAGTTTTGCAAAACCACCTGAGTTCTTGCATGGTTTTAAGACACCTTCAGCAGCCGCTTGGTCTTTCAGGAAATCAGCAGGACAGATTGTACTGGCTTGATGGGTTGTTTTACTTGCCTTTGGCACAGTGAGAGTTAAGTTAGTTCAGAGAGGCCTGGGAAGATGTGCTGTGAAAAATACAAACCCTCCAACTGCTTCTGCCAAGTCCTTTGGTCCTGCAGGTTTTCTCCACAACTGCCTAAAGTTTGCCAGGACAAGCTTAAATTGAGGTTAAAAGGAAAGTAAAAAACATTTTAAATTAGTATATTAAGGATTGAATTAATTGTGGTTCTTCCCAGTGCTGTCAGGATTTGGTAGGACTTCCTATATTAAAATTCCAGACTCAGAAGGGACAGGACAGTAGATCTGTCCTGTAGGAGGTGGAAAACCAGGAGAATCTATCTCAGCAGAAAGGAGCAGTTTGGGTTGTTCTCAACATAGCTGGGAGTAGTTCTACTCTGCTCTGTATCTCTATTTGTGCTCCATCTTCCAATAATACATTTTTTTCACGGCAAGGGTTTCGTTTTGGAAATCAGTCCTGTGTGGAATGCTGGTGGTTTATTTATAAAAACAGGTCCAGCACTTGCCAAGCTCAACAAGGACATCAAGAGGGATGCCAGTGCAGGAGTGGCACGTGATCCTCAGAGAGCTGAAATGCCACTCCTCTATAAAATAACAGCTAAACATTTTCAGAGGCAGGCAAATAGTTTCCATGCTGGGCCTCTGCAGCCAAACCCACCTCACCCTGAGAAGAAATGCAACTTTTAAGTTGCTCAAATACCACAGTCCTAAAGAGAGATACGGGGGCAATGGCTGAAGCCAATCTCTCAGGTCTCCAGGGCTTTGAGGCCAGGATCCAGGCAGTGCTGCTTTGCCTGATCTAGAACTGATAATTCCCATTTCCAGGGTAACAGAGCCCCTGTGGTGATGTCCCAGTAGATGATGTTGCTAATGCTGCTGTAGCAGTTGCTTGTAAAGCTGTTGTAATAAAATACAGCTGTCAGAATGCACTCAAAACTGCCTTAAGCTCCACTTTTCATACCAAGGTGATGATGTTTGCTGGAACTCAGGTGCCACCCTGATCCTGGAAAGAGATGCATGGTTTTGGCTGTTAGCCAAGCAAACAGCAGTGAGATTCAAAGTGCTCCAGCAAATTGGTGTGTTTGTGGGAGGCCTCATCAGCTGGATGCAGCTTCTTGACCTCATTGACTTCCAGGAACTCCACACACAAACGGTAAAGCCAAGGGAAGTCTGTGCAGACTTTGCATTTTTTCTTTAACATCCTTGTGGTAAGTGTCTGTTCTTGGCTCTGTTTGAGACAGGATACTGGCAAAACAGAATTTCTAACACATTTTAAGGACACAGGAAAGTCCTTTGACCTGTGAAAACTTACTGTGCACGAATGAAGTACCCAGAAAAGAGTGTCTGGGCAGGAAAGCTTCACTCTTGTGACAGCCCGAGGAACATTAAGCTGCTCATGCCTTGGTAAAGAATTTGACTCCCGCAGGCTGGGGCTGGGAGGGAAAGCTGTGACTGTGCCTGTCTGACCTGGCAGGATCCAAAGTCCTGGCTCTGGCCCCCTTCCAGCAGCAGGATGAGGATTTTGGGCACTGCCTGGCACTGCACACACTGAGCCATCCTGCTGCTGTACAGCAGCAAACATCTGAGGAATGGCTGTTCTCAGGAGGATGAAAGGGAACAACTTGAACCTGTTCTCAGGGCAGAGCTTTAGAGGTTTTTGATGGTTGGTTCTTGTGCATCACATCCATCTTGGGTAGGAGCTGGCCCAGAGGAGTAATGGGGTTGCTATTTGCTTATCTGTTATGACAAACACTCAGAGCTGCTCTGAGCAAGCTCACGTCACAAGAGCTGTTTCATAATCTTGGTTTATAAACTCTTGGATCTCACCTCAGACAGGGATCCAGCTCTTCTCTCTGCAATGCTCAGCTGCTCCTGGTGTGCCCCTGTGGACAAACCAGGCTCCCATTGCAGACCCCACACCTGTGGTAATGGCATTTAGTTCTCTGTGATGTTCACAGGTCAGTATTCAAATGGTGTTAAATTAGGAACACTCTGGATCTCTGAGCTGGGAGGTGTCTTTAGGAAAGGGTTTGGAAACTGAGCTCAGTGAGTGCACTGAGATCTTTTGAGTTAAACTCAGTGGAGGAGGGATTTTCTCTAGAAACCCAAGAAATCAGGAATGATTAGGCAACCAGACCTTGCAGGGATCTATTTATCATGCTCTTAGTGAATGTTTTACTAAAAGACTTCATTGCTTCTTTGCCACAGATTTAACTTGTCGGCTTTCAGTTTTGGGGTAGAAATTACAAAGATTTAAACTTTTTTTTTGCCCCATTTTTTTTGATCTTTCACCTAGCACTGTAAAAGCCGGAAATCTGTTCACCTTTCCATGAGATAATATTTCTGTTCCTGATACCGCTCTGATTACAGCAGCTGCATAAACATCTTTATACTCCCAGCCAAAACTCTGCACACAACTATGATTTGGCACCCCCAAGGCTGGGCTGAATTCTCCTCCATCTGAAAGCCAAACCCCTGAGGACGGAGCAGCAGCCCCGGGAAATGCCCGGTCGGAAAGCTGGCGGCTCCGGGGGCTGCAGGTGCCCTCCCAGACGCTTCCCCACATTACAATGAGCAGAGGAGGGAGTTTCCTGCTCCTGCTGGAGCCCAGCCAGCCACTTTCTCATCATCCATATTCTTAAGTGGAAGAGCAGATGGATCAGTTGCTTCCTAGATACGACGCAAACACGGATGCGTTTGCAGACAGAGCTGCTCTTGTTTTGAAAGGAAGCGTGAGGCTGACCTGAGTGAGGAGCGGCCATCCCATGGCTCTCCCTGCTGCCAGGGCTGAGTATTCCCCTCACACCACCCCTCAGGCTGTGCCAACTGCCCACTGTGCTCTCCAGCAGCTCCTCAGTCAGTTCTTGCAGGCCCAGCCACAAAACCTTCATTTCTCCCATATTTTTGTTCATGTAGCTTAGTGACTCCCCAATTTTTCCATGTTATGTGGATCACTTTTTCTCTCCTTCAGATCCTGCTTCCCCTCCCTGCATCCCTGTCCAGCTGTAAAGCAAAGTGTCACAGGCTCTCTGCAACTCTCTTCAAGCTGCACTCAACAGATGCTTCTGTAACTTCAGGTTTTGGCATGATTAAAAAGTGGAGGAAGGAGCCTGGGAGCTTTAAAATAGGTGTGGGGTTGAAGCTGGCATGAAAACAAAAGCAGATACAAGTCACATCCTATTTTTTTCCCCTTGAACCAAAGCAGAATCAAAACATCCTTTTGCTTTAGTCAAATTAAAACAAAATAGTCAAACAAAACACTGCTGTGAGTAAACAGAGCTGTTGACTTGTCACTGCAGCCCTCAACATCATCAGCTCTGGGTGAGCTGCAGGAGAGCTGTGACACTGATGTGCAGCAAACTCCTCCTGGCTCATGGGCCACCATGTCCTGTACCTAGGAGGGAAATTTAAGCGGAAAGAGTGCAAACCACAACCCTGAGTGTGTAAAACACAACCCTGAGTGTGCAACCCACAACTCTGAGTGTGTAACCCACAACCCTGAGGGTGTAAACCACACAACCTTAAGTGTGTAAACCACAATACTGAGGGTGTAAACTACAACCCTGAGGGTGTAAATCACAGCCCAGAGTGTGTAACCCACAACCCTGAGTGTGTAACCCACAACCCTGAGGGTGTAAATCACAACCCGGAGTGTGTGGTTATCGTGTAGAGCCCGAGAGAACACTGCTCTGATGTGTGGATTTTGCCAGGGCCCTGAGGAGGTACTGTACTCCTGGCCCAGCCTTCCGTGCTCCTGAGCTGTGCTGGGCCACGGATGAACACAGGCTCAGGAAAAGCTGGAATTGCTTTCTCCTCTTTCCACAGCTTCCAGCCGTGCAGAGCCACCGTCCCACCTGGCTGAAGGGGACACGCACGGGCAGGGGATGCTCCGGGGAACAGGGCACAGGGGACAGGGGACAGGGCTCATCCCCCGGAGGGTGGCACAGGAGGCTCCCCCGGGCAGGGCCAGCCCCCGGGCTCGGTGCTGCAGCGGAGCCCGGCCCTCGGCCGGAGCCGGGGCTGGGGCCGCCCCCGGGGCCGGAGCCGGGGCCGGGGCGGGGAGAGGCGGCCGGGGCGGCGGCGGAGGGAGCGGAGCGGGGATGGCAGCGCCGCTGCGGGCGGCCCTGGCGCTGGGGCTGCTGGCGGCCGCTCAGCCCGCACCGGCCCCGGCACAGCGGCGGCAGGCGGAGGTACGGCCGGCACCGGGGCTGCTACCGGCACCGGCACCGGGGAGGGCGGGAGCGCGTCCGGGCTGGGCGTCCCCCGCGGGTGCGCGTGTTCCTGGTGTCCGTGTCTCTGGTGTGCCCCTGGCCCCGTGCCCCCGGTGTGCGTGTCCCGTGTGGTCGTGGCAGAGCTGTGCGTGTCCCCGGTGTCTGTGTCCCTGGTGTGCCCATGTCCCCGGTGTGAGTGTCCCCGGTGTGCCTGTCCCCTGGTGTGTGTGTCCTGTGTGGCTGTGTCCCTGGTGTGTGTGTCCCTTATGTGCCCACATCCCCGTCCCCGTGCCCCGACTGCGCCTGTCCCCACTGAGTCCATGCCCCAGGCGTGCCCATGACCCTATGCCTGTGCCATAGGTGTGCCCACGCTCTAGATGTGACTGTCCCTGGTGTACCCACATCCCTGTGCCCCAGCTGTGACTGTCCCCACTGAGTCCATGCCCCAGGCGTGCCCGTGTCCCTGTGCCTGTGCCATAGGTGTGCCCACGCTCTAGAGGTGACTGTCCCTGGTGTGCCCATGCCATAGGTGTGTGCATATCCCTGTGTGCCATGGGTGTGTCTTAGCCCTGAGTGTGCATGTCCCTGGTGTGCCAGTGTCATAGGTGTGGCCGTGTCCCAGGTGTCACTGTGTCCCTGGTGTGCCCGTGTCCCTGGTGTGCCTGTGTCATAGGTGTGGCCATGCCCCAGGTGTCGTTCTGTCCCTGGTGTGCCCATGTCTCTGGTGTGCCTGTGTCATAGGTGTGGCTGTGCCCCAGATGTCACTGTGTCCCTGGTGTGTCCATGACCCTGGTGTGCCCGTGCCCCAGATGTCACTATGTCCCTGGTGTGCCTGTGTCCCTCATATGTCCATGCCCCAGGTGTCACTGCGTCCTTGGTGTGCCCGTGCCATAGGTATGAGTGTGTCCCCAAGGTCCATCCCCAGCACAGGTGAGTGTCCCTGAGCTCGTGACCCCTGTGCCAGCCCCTGTGCCCTGGGCACAGCAGTGTGTGTGGCACAGGTGTGTGGCTGTGCCAGCTGGGGATGGATGGGGCTGTGCCACAGGCTGGTATTGGAATGCCAGGGTGTGTGGCCACCTGTGCTGTGTGGAGCTGTGGCAGAGAGTCACAGACTGGCTTGGGTTAGAATGGACATAAAACTCATCCCATTCCACCCCTGCCATGGGCAGGGACACTTCCACTAGCCCAGGTTGCTCCAGCCTGGCCTGGGACACTTCCAGGGATCCAGGGGCAGCCACAGCTGCTCTGGGCACCCTGTGCCAGGGCCTCAGCACCCTCACAGGGAAGAATTCCTTCCCAAATCTAATCTAAGTCTGGCCTATTTCAGCTCAAAGCCATTCCTCCTTGTCCTGTCTGTGCTTGCCCTTGCCCAAATTCCCTCTCCAGCTCTCTGGGAGCCCCTTTAGGCTCTGCATGGGCTCTGTGTGTCCCTGGAGCTTCTCTTGTGCAGGATGAGCAGCCCCAGCTCTCCCAGCCCTGTCCAGGTGTCCCCACAGGTGATGTGCAGCTGCAATCCTCCCCATCTCCCAGCATTTCATCCCCAGGAGAGGACAAAACCCAGTCCTTCCCCTGCCTGCCTCTGCCCATCACCTGTTTGGATTTCTCTGTTTGTCCTGCTGTCATTGTCACCCCGTGCCACCATCCATTCCTGTTTGTTTTGGGAGGACGAGGTATGAGATCTGGCTGGTGAACGATGGTTCATATTGGGGATTTTTTTGTTGTTTAGGCCTCGATCCAGTGTACATTTGTACAAATGCTTAATTTTCAACCCCAGCCAGCAAGTTCTGGTGAATTAGTTGGGGTTTTGAGCCCATGCTCTGAGAGGAAAAGGGCACAGGAATGCTCAGAGGTTTGTTTTGATGTGCAGGCTCTTTCTGCTGGGAGATGCTGCTCCAGAGAGGTCATTAATAGCTGTGATTTTCCCACTGTGCACAAACCTCAGCCCAGGAAACCAATAATTCAAAATTCACTTTAAAAGGAAACCAACTGATTGTGAAAAACTGGTTTAACAACCCAAACTGCCTTTCCACCCCTCATCGGTGACTTCTGAGCTCTTTTCCCTTGAAGTTTCAGAGCAGATCCCAGGATTGTGGCAGATCCCTCCTGAGAGAGTTCTGGGCAAGGCACTTTCCTGTCTCCCTGCCTCAGTTTCCCCAAGGGGATGTGCTGGGCTGCCCAGGGGCTTTGGGACAACACACACACAATGGAAATGCAGAGAATGGGCTGTGGAACTCGTCTAAATAAACTGAGCAGTTAATTTTCTCTCAGGAGGAAGCTGAAATTCTCACATAACATCAAATAGTTCTGGTGATTTGTGGCTTTCAGAGCACTTCCAGGCTTTGCTTCTAAAGCTTGGCTTTTTTTTTTTTTTTTGTTAATTCTTTTTAAAAAGCCACAGTTAGCAACAATATGTTGTGTAAACTTAGATGCATAAGACTGTCAAATGTCCAGTTGTGTGCTTTTCCTGGCTGGTTTCCATGTTTTCACTGCATCTGTACCAATTGCAGTTAAACAAACCCCAAAAAACCCCAAAAAAAAACACCCCATAAAACCAAACCAAAACAAAAAAAAACCACATTAAAAAATAAGGAAAATTCAAAAATTTAATTTGAAACATTTGTATGTGAAATCATCTTATCATCCACAGATAAGAGAGGGCCCAGTGCAAGAGAGCACATTGTTTGGCAAAGCTGGGTCTGGCTGGGCTGTGCTCAGACAGCAGCTGGAGGGTGGGAATGCCCAAAATTCCCTGATCCCGAGGGAATTGTGTAAAACACCCGGGGCATGTGAGATCCCAGCCCATGGTGGGAGTGAGGGGCTGGACAAAGGACAATGAAATCCCTGCAGAGATTCATGTGAGAAGCTCCAGGTGACATAAAAACTGAGGAGCATTTTGATAAAAACTGAATGGGAACAGAGAGCTGGGCTAACAGATTGAATAATTGTCATTTTGGAATTTTTTTTTCCAATTTTTTCACCCCTGTCCTGCCCTTCTCCTTCCCATCTTGCAGTATCTGGATGCTTCCAGATATGTTCTGATATATTTGATATTCTTCCCCTTATCAAACCAAGGTCTCAGATTTTGGGCTGGGAGATGCTCCGGCATCTCTGAGCTGCTTTAGGAGCAGGATGCTGCTGGGATGAAGGATGATGAGCACAGCTGGGTGCAGGGAGGCTCCTGGCACCACACAGACCCTGTGGGGCACAGAGCATCCCATATCTCCTTCTGAAACAAGGAGGAGAAATCCTCCTTCCTGTAAAAAATCCCTGCTGTGCAGCCTCAGCATGAAGGGAGGGAGGTGGAGATGAGGAGGAATTCTCCTCTGAGGCATGGCCGGGCTCTGCATCCCCCGATCCCGCGTCCCGGAGCCGCGGGTGCGGATGTGGGGAGCGGCCCCGGGTGCCCCGGGCATCCCCGGTGTGATTTCCACGCCGTGAGTCACCAAAGGCAGCACGAACAGCTCCGCCTTTCTTCCCGCTGCTGCCCCAAAACAATCCCCGCTTGTTCGGGCAAACCTCGCCCGCCGGGCAGGGGCCGGGGCCTTCTCCAGCTTTTTCCTTTCCTTTCCTTTCCCCTTTCCTTTCCTTTCCTTTCCTTTCCTTTCCTTTCCTTTCCTTTCCTTTCCTTTCCTTTCCTTTCCCCTTTCCTTTCCCCTTTCCCTTCCCTTCCCTTCCCTTCCCTTCCCTTCCCTTCCCTTCCCTTCCCTTCCCTTCCCTTCCCTTCCCTTCCCTTTTTCTCTCCCCTTTTCCTTCCACCTTTTCCTTCCCCCTTTCCCTTTCCTTTCCCTCCTCAGACACCACAGCACAGCCAAGCTGTGTGACAAACTGGTTTGTCAGCCCCTCTGGTATTCACAGGGGAAGGTTTGGCCAAGCCAGGTGTTCTTCCCTGGTTTCCCCAAGAGTTTTGGGTCACATTCAGCAGTTTTGGTGCTGCAGCCCATCAGGTTTGGGGTGCTGGGGCAGAGCTGCCATCTGCTTCCCAACGAGTTAGCACTGATCCATGGATTGGTTTGGGTTGGAAGGGCCTTAAATCTCCTCTCATTCCACCCCTGCCACACCTTCCATTAGACCAAGTTGCTCCAAGCCACATCCAAGCTGTTGGTGAAACCAGGAGGGGTTTTAGCTAGGCCAGGCTTGCTGCTTCTCACCTTTAGAAGATTGAGAGTTAAAATAAATGGAGTTTAGAAGATCCCAACTCCACATCTTTAGTGGCAAGTGGATTATTTGCTGCTAAAAAGTAGATTTTAGGAGTGGTGGGCAGGGCAGGAGGTTCCTCCAGGACACAGCAGGGGAATATCCCAGCAGCCAGGGATGGGATGGGATGGGATGGGATGCTTGGGGCTTTCACCACGCTCCATCCTCAGTGCAGGGAATCAGCTGAGATTTCCCTGATCCATCTCCAGTGTGGGGAATCAGCTGAGATTTCCCTCATCCATCCTAGTGCAGGGAATCAGCTGAGATTTCCCTGCCCATCCCCAGTATGGGGAATCAGCTGAGGGCTGAGGTTTCCCTGCCTTTCCATCGGGAGCCCTGCCAGGCTCTGTGCTGGCTAATGCCCCTTCTCGTGTGTCCATAGATGCAATATTTATAGAGATACTTACACACACACTTAAACAAAGGCGGCGCGGGGGCTCTGCCTGAGGCTTTGCAGGGATGAGCAGCAGCAAATGAGCGTTTTTAATTGCTGTGCCATCTCCTGGAGGCAGCAGGGAGCCCATGGGCAGGAGGAGCTGCTGCTCCCTCTGTGACCACGCCAAAACACACCAGGAGCCAGTTCTGCCTCTGTGTGTGCTGGGGGAAACTGAGGCTGAAAAGCAGGAGCTCTGTGCCCCTTTGGGCCTTGAGATGATGTGGGATGAGCCTGGGGATGCTGGAACCAGGGTTTGGGATCCACCTGGTTTCAAACAAAAGACTTTAAAGGTGCAGAGTGTAGTGGCACTGCCTGTAACCATGTCACAAAACGCCTGTGTCAGATTAAGTCTTTTTCTGACCCAGAGATGGAGTAACTGAGAGGCGTTTTAAAATTTTTTATTTATTCTTTATTCTATTTTATTCTATATTCTATTTTTTAAAATTCTATTTATTCTCAGTCTCATGAGAAGAGTGAGACAATACAGATGTTACAACCCACCCCATCACAATCAGAAGCCAACTATTTCTCAATCACAATACATTATAAGCAATTCTTGGCCTGGCCTTTGGCAGGGTGGGATCCCCTCCCTGCCCTGCCGGGGATGGAGGGGAGGGATGGGGTTTGTACCCAGCAGAGCAGGGGGAGCACGGTCAGCAGGAGCTGTGCGAGGTTTCTCCGGTTCTCAGGGGCTGGAAAGCAGCCACAGCTGCAGGGGAGGAGCCGATCCTGCTGTCTCGGCACTCTCCTTATCCCGGCTTCCAGTCAGAGTTAATTGTGTTTGCTGCTGGCTGAATTCCACCCGGGATGCCTGTGGTGGAGGGCAAGGTGTTTCCTTGGCTTTGGCCAAGGCAGAGATGATTTCAGGGTTGTAACAGGCTCCACATCAGAGCCCTGAGATGGGAAGGGTCCCTCTGTGTCCCCCAGCCTCCTCCCGCTGTCCCCAGAGGTTCTCTGCTCCATCCCTGCTTCCCAAGCAGCCAAACCCCTGCTCCTCTCCCTCCCTCGTGCACAGCGGGAGCTGGGCATATTTCACGTTAATGCTTCTCTTGGTTTCCTGCTGTTTTTCTTTTCCCATTGTATGGAATAGCGCATTTCCCCGTCTGGGGCGGGAGGGAGGGGGTGTTCCCAGCACTTTGCATTGCAGCCTCTGGAGAGGTTTGGATGGGCTGGGGCCAGATTGCAGCCTGGCTGGGCTCTGGGGGGCTCTGCAGGGCTGGGGGATGTGACAGCGTTCACAAGGATGAGGGAAGGGACGAGGATCTGACTCCATGTTTCAGAAGGCTTGGTTTATTATTGTATGATATATATCATATTAAAACTGTACTAAAATCATAGAAGAAAAGGTCTCATCAGAATAGAATAGAAAGGAATGATAACAAAGGTTTGTGGCTCAGAGAGCCTGAGCCAGCTGACTGTGATTGGCCATTAATTAGAAACAACCCACATGGGCCAATCACAGATGCACCTGTTGCATTTCACAGCAGCAGATAATCATTGTTTGCATTTTGTTCCTGAGGCCTCTCAGCTTCTCAGGAGGAAAAATCCTAAGGAAAGGATTTTTCATAAAAGATGTCTATGACACTGGGAGCCTTCAGCACTGGTTTGGGCACAGGATGCTGTGGCAAGGGGCTCTTGGGTTCCCCTGGATCCCAAAAACTCCCTGGATTTGTATGCTCTGTGTTGGATAAATACCTGACAGAGATCAGCACATCCCTCTCCTGCAGCTCTGTGTTTCCAGGACCACCATCACCCTTAGCTGACAGCAGATGTGTCTAGAGAACACAATAGAATTTCTCCTGATGGTTTTGCAGCCAGAGAGTCGGTGCCTGTGTGTGAGAACCTCAATGTGGCACAGGCCAGAAACCACAGAGAAAATGCTGCTTTGCTTGGGCTTGCAAAGCTCAGGGAGCTCTGGGCAGGAGTGATAAAGCCAATAGTGGCCTCTGTGCCTTCTGGTGCTGCTCAAGAGCAGCTGCTGGGACAGGGTTGCTTTTTTCACTGTGCACCCTGACGTGTCCAGATGGGGTTTCAAGCCTCCATGAGATCATGGTGAGGAAAAAGCATTTTCATGCTTTAATAGTGGGATTATGTTGGGTTACAGGCAAGGAAGGAGCTTCAGGTTGTGCTGAGTGAATGCAGAATTGTGTTAGACAAGGTTCAGACTGTGCTATGAGAGCCAGGACTTCCCATCCAGGTGTTCAGTCCACATTTATCTGCACTGATGTCACCTCTGGCATCTTCACCCTGTAACTGGTGATTCACCCTGTAACTGGTGATTTTGTGCTTCTGGAGGAGGACTTTAAGAAAATACAAGCACGGGGGAAAAGGATGAGATCCCTTCTCCTCTCCAGATACTCTCAGAGGGCTCCAAGCCATTCCATGCTCAGGATGTTCCTCCATTCCTGCATGCCCATCCTGAGCTGCTGCTGGGTTTTGCTCCTGTGAGGGTGGGTTATCCCAGTGTGGCTGGGGAATGGCAAGTCCAGGCTGGATGGTAAAGCCTGGGCAAAGGTGTTGTGGCTTCTCCTGACAAACAAGTCACTGCTCTCTGTGACCGTGCTCACAGGGGTTCTTGGATGAGGGAAGAGATGAGGATCTGACTCCATGTTTCAGAAGGCTTGATTCATTATTTTATGATATATATTACATTAAAACTGTACTAAAAAAATAGGAGAAAAGATTTCATCAGAAGGCTGGCTAAGAATAGAATAGCAAAGAATGATAAAAAATGTTTGTGGCTCGGCTCTCTGTCTGAACAAGCTCACTGTGATTGGCCATTAATTACAAACATGGGCCAATCCCAGATCCACCTGTTGCATCCCACAGCAGCAGACAATCATTGTTTACATTTTGTTCCTGAGGTCTCTCAGCCTCTCAGGAGGAAAAATCCTAAGGAAAGGATTTTCCATAACAGATGTCTGTGACAGGTCTCCCAGCCAGTGTGGCACTGTCCTGATTTACCCTGACCCACTGTGAGGTGTCTGGGTGACCCTGGCCACGCTCAGGCTCCTCCTGCTGCAGCCTGGCACTGCTGGGACGAGCTGCTGGTGCCTCCAGCTGAGACAAGGCAGCTTTGGTGGGAAAAACATCCAAAATTCTTTGTGTGGGGCTGGGTAAAGAGCGTGTCCAGGCAGGAATGTGTGCTGGGGCTCTGCCAGAGGGGGATGCTCCAGGTAGAGGGGGTGTAAAGGAGGAGATGGAGCTGGAGGAGATGGAACTGGAGGAGATGAAATGGAGGAGATGAAATGGAGGAGATGAAATGGAGGAGATGAGGGCTGCAGAGCACACGTGGCTGTGCAGTGACGTGCTTGGGGATGACATGAGGGTGACTGTTCATGGCAAGCAGGAGGTTTGGGCAGGAGGAGGAGAGGGAGAGGCCCTGGCACAGCTCGGGGCTGCCACATCCACAGAGCATTCCTGCTCCCTGCCTGGTGACAGGGCCCTGGCAGAGCTGCTGCCTCCTCTGCAGGGAATTAAAGGAGAGCTGGGTCACCACAGTCAGGAGCAGCACTGAGAGGAGATCACCACTCCAACCCCTTCCCTTTCCCAGCCCCGAGATGAACTGGAAGGGAAACAGCTTTAAAACCACCCCGAGGGCCCCAGCCCTGCTATCCGGGCCATCCCTGGCATTCCCGGTGCTCATGGGATGCAGAGAGGGGAATCCGCCACTTTCACTTTTTATTATTATTATTCATTGCCGTAACTCGGGCTCTGCTGCACTAACAGGATGCTGGGCAGCTTGTTTGTGTCCCGCAGACATCCCTGGCGGCGGGCGTGGAGCATTCCCGTGTGACCCCGGCTATTAACTCCTCCAAAAAGCAGCCCGAGCCGTTTATTTTCTTTAACATACAATTTAAGCGCTGGAGCGAGTTCAGAGAGGCAATCTCCGTCCGTGTCGGCGGCCGATAAGGAGAAGAATGGTTTGGCAAAGCAAATTGCACCCTGAGCATCCCCACTTTGCAGCAGCACATCCTGGTGGGGATGGGGATGCTGAGCCTGACCCCGGCTCACCCTGCCCTACTCGTGGCCATTCTGGCTTTGTTTGGATCCCTGCCTGGAGCCGGGGCGATCAGAGCTGAGGGTTTGGTCGCCTCTGGCTGCGGATGGGACGGCAGCAGAGGATTTTGATCTCTGTATTTCCTCCTACGCTTCCATCGTGGCCAAAAACCCCGAGAGCCAAATGAAATGATGGGGAGGAGACACACGGGAACGTGTATGGGCACGGCTGCTTGAGATGCAGAGCTCCCAGGAGCAAAACAAGTGGGCAGTTTGGGTTTGCAGCACTCAGCTCCTTTTTCCCCCTCTTCCCAAGCCAACACGTGCTCTGAGCTGCACCTTTCCCATTTTTTCTTGCAGCTCTTCCTGAGAAATACAGCTGCTCCAGGGAGTCACACAATTTACCTGCAGTGATGTCACCACTGGTGATTCACCCTGTAACTGGTGATTTTGTGCTTCTGGAGGAGAACTTTAAGAAAATACAAGCACGGGGGAAAGGATGAGATCCCTTCTCCTCTCCAGATACTCTCAGAGGGCTCCAAGCCATTCCATGCTCAGGATGCTCCTCCATCCCTGCTGCCCATCCTGAGCTGCTGCTGGGTTTTGCTCCTGGTACCCCCTGTAAAAATGGGAATATCCCAGTGTGACTGGGGAATGGCAGGTCCAGGCTGGATGGTGAAGCCTGGGCAGAGGTGTTGTGGCTTCTGCTGACAAACAAACCAATGCAAACCAAAACAAGCGGGAAGTTTGGGTTTGCAGCACTCTTTGCCACTTCATCTCCTTTCCCCATCTTCCCAAACCAACACATGCTCTGAGTTACACCTTTCCCATTTTTTCTTGCAGCTCTTCCTGGAGAAATACGGCTATTTCAGGGAGCAGGGGGCCAGCACACACAGCCCAGCCGAGTTCAGCAAGGCGCTGAGGTAGGAGCCTTTTATCCATCCAACGTTGCCCTCCAACCTCGGAGCCTTTTACCCAACACTGCCCTCCAACCTTGGAGCCTTTTACCCAACACTGCCTTCCAACCTTCGTCTGCAGGGATGCTGCCAACACCCCGAGGGTTTTTTTTTACAGCCAGAGGGGCCTTTTTGCAGCTGGAGGCTCTGTGTCTCACAGTGCACAGCCCGTGTTTTTTGGAGAGGCGGGTCCATGCCTGGTTCCCCAGCTGGTGCTGGCTGTTGGCACCCGGCTCTCGCTGCTTTATTCGCCTTTTATGGCCCTGAGCTCGCCTGTGATAAAATCTGTGGGAGGCCGAGCTTGGGGAGGGCTGGGAGATGTCAGAGGGGGAGAGCTGCCAGCTCCTGCCTGGGCTTCTCCTAAGGACATCACCTCTGGGAGCTTCCCGGGCTTGACCCTGTGCAAAGCCAAATGCAAAGTTAAATGTGAAAGGCAAAAAACTGGGGTTAAAAATGGGAAAAGGCATTTTTAGGCTCCATTTTTAGGCTTCTCTGCCCTGCTAGGAGGTGACTTACAGGTCAGCTGTGCTTGCAGAGCCAAATCCTTCTTGTTTTACCAGCTGGGTGAAGTTCCGATGCCGGGGTGTGAAGCTTGTGGGGTGAAAATCCTGGCTTGGGTCAAACCCCCAGCACAAACACACCCAAACCCCAGCAGAAACACACCCAAACCCTGGCACCAACATACCCACACCTCTGGCACAAACACATCCATACCCTGGCACAAATATACCCAAACCCCCAGCACCAACGCACCCAAACCCCTGGCACCAACATCTCCAAATCCCCAGCACAAAAATACCCAAACCCCCGGCACCAACATCCTCAAACCCCAGCACCAACATACCCAAACCCCCAGCACACACACATCCAAAAAACCTGGTACAAACATCCCCAAACCCCCAGCACCAACACACCCAAACCCCAGCACAAACTTACCCCAAACCCTGGCACCAACACACCCAAACCCCTGGCACCAACATCCTCAAACCCCCAGCACCAACATACCAAAACCCCCAGCACAAACACATCCAAAAAACCTGGTACAAACACACCCAAACCCCTGGCACAAACGTACCCACACCTCTGGCACCAACATCCCTAAACCCCAGCACAAACACACCCAAACCCTGGCACCAACATCCCCAAACTCCCAGCACCAACATACCCAAACTCCTGGTACCAACACACCCAAATCCCAGCACAAACATACCCAAAACCCTGGCGCAAAAATACCCAAACCCTCAGCACAAACATACCCACACCTCTGGCACAAACATCCCCCCAACCTTTGTCACAAACACACCCAAACCCCCAGCACAAACATCCCCAAACCCTCAGCACCAACATACCCAAACCCCTGGTACAAACACACCCAAACCCTTGGCACTTACATACCCAAACACCCAGCACAAACATCCCCCCAATCCTTGGCACAAACACCCCCAAACCCCACCACGGCGGGTCTGGATGTGGCTGCTGACACCCCTATTCCTCCTGCAGGGATTTCCAGCGTGTGACCCACCTCCCTGCCAGCGGGGTGCTGGATGCCCCCACCCTCCATCAGATGGCCCTGCCCAGGTGTGGCACGGATGACGGGCACGGCCGCGCTGCCCCCGCCCGGCGCCGCCGGCGCTCGGCACAGCACGGTGAGCACCGGGGGGCTCCGGGGGGGTTTGGGGTCTGGGATGCTCGGGTTTCCCATCCTGGACTCGTGGGGAAGCTGCTGTGGGTGGGAGGTGCAGGCCCACAGGCACAGCATCCAGCCCAGGACTCGCTTGGAGGTTGTTTTTAAAGCAGTGATTAGAGATTCAGCTCCCAATTGGGGAATTCGCCTCTCTTGGGGTGGTTTTACTGCTTCTGTGGGAGCCAGGAGATCTCCCAGAGAGCACTCAGGTCACCATGGCCCCACACTCAGCTGGGCTGGCATGATATGCAGAGCATGAGCTGGCACACAGTGAAGTTATCTCCAGGTTTTGCTGACCTTTGGGACTCCTAATGCCTCTTAGGGGCACAGCAGTACCCAAAAACCTGCCAGCACTTGGCTGCCTGACCCAAGAGTCATTTCACCCATGTTAAGGGGTTTAACTCTGCTCCAAGCATCCTTCTGTGTGTCCAGGGCTGGGCCTCTTGTCCCCTGTGAGCTCTCTTTGGGCTTGCAGATGAGTAACTGGATTCCTGGAGAGCGAGAGGGCCAGCTGTGCTCAGGACATGGGAAAAATGAAAGGGAGATTAAGAACAGGCTCTGTGCCGTGTCAGGCTGTCTGTGCATCTGGCAGGGCTGGCCATGCACAGCCCCAGGAGAGAGCCCTGTCATGCTCCTCCAGGCTCTAGATTTCCTCCCAAAGCCCCAGCATGTGTCCCTTGCAGGAGCCATCCTGTGCCCAGGGCATGTGGGCAGTGAGCAGAGCAGGAAGGGCATAGAGCAGGAGGTGGGCAAACAGGAGCAGCCAGTGCCCTGTGGCTCATGGGGCTCCTTTTTGGGCATCAAAAAAGTGGCTGGGTGGCAGGAGATGCCCAATGGCTCAAGGATAGGGCAGGAAAGGGCTCAGTGTGGTTATTGCTGTGGTGATCTGATGTCACAGGCAGTGGGGATGGGACAGCACCACATCTGTACCCAAGGGCTGGGTGGGAACAGGGGGTGCCTGCAGATCTGGAGGAAGGCTGGGCTGTTTATCCTGCTTGGAGCAGGAACCCCTGGCAGCTGAGCCAGCTCAGTGCTTTGTTATCCCCTCATCCCAGCAGGATCTCCCCTGTGTCCCTCATCCTGCTGGCTTGGGGCACACCCAGAGCCCAGCACGGGGCAAAGCCAAGCTCTCCTCTTCCCAGGAGCCAGCCTTGCCCATCCTCCTCTGGTGGTGGATGTTCTGCCCCTGTGGAGAGAAGGATGGGATGCCAGGCTTTGTTTTAGGGCTGCTTTTAGAAAAGGCTCTGTGCCATGTCAGGCTGTCTGCTGCCAGCTGTGTTCCCCCTGTTTCCCTGCACATCTGGAGCAGAGGCAGAGGCTGGAGCCTGTCCCCACTCCCACGCCTCAGCACCAGCTCTGGCACCCACATCCCCCCAGCGCCCCACGGCTTTTTCCTGCTCCCTCCAGATAAATGTAATCCCAGGGCTCTGGGGTCCCAAACCCCAGCACCAACACGCCCAAACCCCCAGCATCAACATACCCAAACCCTGGCACAAACATACCCAAACCCCCAGCACAAACATACCCCAAACCCTGGCACAAACATACCCAAACCCCCAGCACAAACATACCCAAAATCCTGGCTCAGGTGAAATCCCCAGCACAAACACCCCCAAACCCCCAGCAGAAACACACCCAAACCCCTGGCACCAACACACCCAAACCCTGGCACAAACATCCCCAACCTCCCAGCACCAACAGACCCAAACCCCCAGCACAAACATACCCCAAACCCCCAGCATCAACACACCCAAACCCCTGGCACCAACACACCCAAACCCTGGCACAAACATCCCCAACCTCCCAGCACCAACAGACCCAAACCCCCAGCACAAACATACCCCAAACCCCCAGCATCAACACACCCAAACCCCTGGCACCAACATCCCCAAACCCTGGCACAAACATCCCCAACGTCCCAGCACCAACACCCCCAAACCCCCAGCACAAACATACCCCAAATCCTGGCACCAACATACCCAAACCCTGGCACCCTTTTAAGGAAGCAATGTGGCACAGATGGAGCCCTGCTCACCCTTTCTCCCTGCCACGGGGGTGGCCTTGTCCCCGCACAGGAGGGCGGTGGCCGAAGCGGCAGCTGACGTACCGCGTGGTGAACCGGCCGCCGTACCTGCCGCAGCACGGCGTGCGCCTGGCCGTGCGCGCCGCCTTCCAGCTCTGGAGCAACGTGTCCTCCCTGCTCTTCTGGGAGGCACAGGATGGTCCCGCCGACATCCGCCTCACCTTCTTCCATGGCGACCACAACGATGGACTCAACAACGCCTTCGATGGGCCAGGTGCTGGTCGCTTCCCCCTCGTAAGCTGCTCTTTGGAACGTGGGGTCTTCCCCCAAAGGGAGGAGGGATGGGGGTGGTGGAGGCTCTGCAGTGTCTCCAGCCCAGCTTGTACCAGTTTGGTGTCTGATTTGGGGTCTGAGTTGCTGTCTGATCTGGGGAATCCCCTCCCAACTCCTCAACTGAGGTCTGCCAGCAAGGCGGCTGAGATGTTCCTCAAGGAGCCCCACAACACCCTCCAAACATGGGCTCCTCCAAAAACAACTAAAACTGAGTCACATTTGGGCAAACCAAATCTGCATGTTGTGGCAATGTTCCTCGCTCAGGGCTCACCCAATGTGGAATTTTCTTGACTTGGTGTCACCAGTTGTGGGAATTTGCAGGCAACCCCGACATGAGAAGAGAATATTGACTCCATGTTTCAGAAGGCTGATTTATTATTTTATGATATATATTATTGTGGCAGACGTCTTTTATGAAAAATCCTTTTGCTAGGATTTTTTGTCCTGAGAAGCTGTGAGGCCTCAGGAACAAAATGTAAACATTGATTGTCTGCTGCTGTGGAATGTAACAGGTGGATCTGTGATTGGCCCATGTTGGTTGTTTCTAATTAATGGCAGAGAGCCCAAGCCACAAGCCTTTGTTATCATTCCTTCTTTTTCTATTCTTAGCTAGCCTTCTGATGAAATACTTTCTTCTGTTATTTTAGTATAGTTTTAATATAATATATATCGTAAAATAATAAATCAAACCTTCTGAAACATGGAGTCAGATCCTCATCTCTTCCCTCATCCTCAGATCCCTGTGAACACGGTCACATATTATATTAAAAGAAAATGATATATTAAAAGTATACTAAAAGAATAGAAGAAAGGATTTCATCAGAAGGTTAGAAAACAAAGGTTAGAAAAACAAAGGAATGGAATGATAACAAAATCTTGTGACTGACCAGAGAATCTGAGCCAGCTGACTGTGTTGGCCATTAATTAAAAACAACCACATGAGACCAATCACAGATGCACCTGTTGCATTCCACAGCAGCAGATAATCAATGTTTACATTTAATTTCTGAGGCCTCTCAGCTTCTTAGGAGAAAAAAAATCCTATCAAAAGGATTGTTCATAGAACGCCATGGTGACATTGCGGTCCCTGCCGGCTCTCGTGTCCCCAGGAGGTGCCCTGGCCCACGCCTTCCTGCCCCGGCGAGGAGAAGCTCACTTTGACAGCGCTGAGCGCTGGTCCCTGCACAGTGGCAAGGGGAGGAACCTGTTCGTCGTGGTGGCCCACGAGGTGGGGCACACGCTGGGGCTGCAGCACTCGCCCGTCAAGAGCGCCCTCATGTCACCCTACTACAAGAAGCTCAGCAAGGATTTTGTCCTCAGCTGGGATGACATCTTGGCCATACAGAGTTTGTACGGTGAGCCTGGCTTCTCTGAGCATCCCTGCGTTCCTCCAGGGTTGTTCTCTGGGGTTCTCTGGGTTCCTCCAGGGTTGTTCTCTGGGGTGAGGAGTGAGCAGTACGAATGGGAGCAGGTCCCTGAAAGGGGAGAGGACTGCTGACACATGGGCTCCATTCCTGTGGTGGCTGGGAGGAAAATGCAGGAGAGGTGGGACAGGTGCCAGGGCCTCCAGGGCAGGGAAGGTTGGGTTTGCTGCCCACTTGTCTGCTGGTGCATGTTTTTTTGGGGTGCCCAGGGATTTTTGTCACTATCATGGAATAAGAACGAGACATTGGGACAAGGGGTCTTGGGAGTCCCAGCCCTGTGCTTTGGGAAAATTTGTTTCTCTGCTCCTCCTCTGGACTCATCACCCCTTGTTCCGTCCCAGGAAAGCCCTCCAAGGGCTCGGCCATCCAGCTCCCAGGAAAGGTCTTCACTCACTTCCAGGACTGGAACACGGACCTTTACAGCAGGGACCGGCAGCAGAGGAGCCTCAGCACCTACTACTGCCACTCCTTCTTCGATGCCATAACCTCTGGTGGGTGCTGGCCAGTGTAACCCCCTCCCAAACCTGCACCCCACCCCTTGTTCCCGTGCTGCTGCAGCTCCCAGGGGAGGGAAAGCTGGGTTTGACTGGTCCACAGCCCCTGGCACTGGTGGTGTCACTGATGCACAGTGAAGCAGTGCACATTGAGGGCACAGCGATGTGCCAGAAACAGGGAAAACGCCCCAAAACCTGGGCCATGGAAAGGATTAATCACTGCAGGAGCTCAGCTGTGCAAGATAAGCCTTGAGCTGTGGTTAGACTTTATCCTTTCATGCCTGGAGGGGAGAAAATGGATTCTGGAAGGTGGAAGGGCAGGGGGAAGCATCCAAACCCCAAAGCACGGGGAGGAGATGGGATCTGGGTAGAAGGGAAGGGTTGTTCAGTAACATTTCTCCCTCTGCCTCACAGATGGGGATCACAACCTCTACATCTTCAAGGGCAGCCACTACTGGGTGGTGTCGGGCAGTGGCAACGCCAGTGAGCCCCAGGCTCTGCAGCCGCGCTGGCCCGGCCTGCCCGCCGGCATCGACGCCTGCACCTGGTCCCAGAGCACGGGCAAGTTCTACTTCTTCAAAGGTGGGTGAGGGCGCAGGGGGCTCCCCTCGGGGCTGCCACTGCTCCTGCCTGCAGGGTGGAGGTCCAGGCTTGGCTGGGGTCGCACAGTTCTTGTTTGTGTGAGCTGGGGCGTTGCTGCGCCCTGGGTGTGCAAAGCCCTGGGCTGGGTGCCCTGTCGTGGGTGAGCCACGTGGCCCTGGCAGCCACAGCACCGCCTCGTGCCTCAGTTTCCCCATCAGGAGAGCACTCACTGGTGTGTCAAAGCAAATCCAGGTGCAGTGGTGAGTGTTGGGGAGAAACTGCTCCCCAAAACACGAGGGGCAGGGGAGTGCGTGGGGGTTTCATGGGGCACTGGATCCCTGGGCTGTGCCTGGGGCTGAGCTGCCCTGGGAACTGGGATACCATCCATGAGCTGCACCAGGAGTTGGGATGCCATCCATGAGCTGCCCTGGGAGCTGGGATCTCATCCCTAAACTGACCTGGGAGCTAGGATACCATTCCTAAATTGCCTCAGTAGCTGGGATACCACCCATGAGATGCCCAGCAGCCAGATGGGGAGAGGAAGGTCAAACCAGGCAGCCTGGCTGCCAGGGTCAGCCCCAGCTTTAATGGGAAGCAGTCCCTGGCTGCTCAGAAAAGGGGCTTTGTGCTGCAGCTGGGTGAGAGCCAAAGCCCCTCTGCCTCCCCAGCCCTGCTGCTCCCTCTGTCCTCCCCAGGGCTGTGCCTTGTGAGCAGAAAGGGGCTTTTGTCTGCCCTGTTGTGGGGACAGGGTGCTGTGGGGACAGCCAAGCCGCCAGTCCCCATCACAATTCCTGCTGCAGGGCTGGGCTTGGATGCCCCAGCTCCAGCTGGATCTGTTTCTGTCTGTCCCATTCGCTGTGCAAGGCCAGGGGGGAGGCTTGCCATAAGCAGCATGGTGGTGGCCTTGCTCTGTCCCTGTGGTCCCTTTCCATGCCTTCAAACCCCTGAGCTGCCGTGCCTCAGTTTCCCCTGTGATGGTGTTCACAGGAGTCTGAGGATGAGGATGAGGGAAGAGACTCCATGTTTCAGGAGGCTTGATTTATTATTTTATGATATATATTATATTAAAACTATACTAAAAGAATAGGAGAAAAGGTTTCATCAGAGGGCTAGCTAAGAATAGAAAAAGAAGGAATGATAACAAAGGTTTGTGGCTTGGACAGAGAGTCAGAGCCAGCTGACTGTGATTGGCCATTTATTAGAAACAACCACATGAGACCAATCACAGACGCACCTGTTGCATTCCACAGCAGCAGATAATCAATGTTTACATTTTGTTCCTGAGGCCTCCCAGCTTCTCAGGACAAAAAACCCTAAGGAAAGGATTTTCCATAAAAGATATCTGTGACATTCCCCCCAGCCTGCTCCTTGGGGCAGCCCCGCAGTGCTCACCAGCGGCATGGATGTCACTGACATGTGGTCCTGTGGCCGAGTCTGGCCACATCTGCAGCTCAGGCTGGCAGGGTCCCCTCTGGGCTGTGCTCTGACCCTCCTGTCCCGCAGGTGGCCGCTGCTGGCGCTACGCTGGCTCCCAGCTGGACGCGGGATTCCCCCGCAAATGCAGCGCCCTGGGGCTGCCCCGGCACCCGGACACCGCGCTCTACTTCCCGCAGCTCCGGCGCCTCGTCCTCTTCAAGGGGCCCAAGTACTTCGTGCTGGGCGAGGATCCCATGGCCGTGGAGCCCTACTACCCCCGGAGCCTGCGGGACTGGGCAGGGCTGCCCCCGGGCACCGCCGGCGCCCTCGCCCACCGCGACCGCGCCCTCTACTTCTTCAGGGACGATCGGTTCTGGAAATTCGACCAGGACAAGCTGCGGGTGGTGGCCACCGGCAAATGGGCCACGCAGCTGGCCTGGATGGGCTGCTGGGATGCCGACAGTGAGCAGGTGCTGTTCTGAGAAAAGGGGGTCTGGACCTGGATCCCTCTGTGCGTGACTCTGGTTCCTGTCTGATGGTTGGGCAGGGACCGGCTGCACACTGGAGCCTTGGGATGGTGGAGCAGTGACCCAGCAGAGCTGGGATGGAGCTGGGACAGAGCCAGGTGTGCCACAGCCAGATGTGCCCATAGCCAGATGTGCCACGGGCCGGTGTGCCATGGCCAGGTGTGCCATGGCCAGGTGACCTGCAGGCTTCAGGACTGTATTTTTTATAATACCACGGGAAAAAAAATGTATCAGCCATGGAGACTGCAAACACATCCATTTCTGTTCATTTTCAGGATGTGTGCCACAGCCAGGTGACCTGAAGGCTTTGGGACTGTATTTTTTATACCAAGAAAAAAAATGTATCAGCCATGGAGACTGCAAACACATTTTTGTTCACTTTCAGGATATTGTTACACACGTTTTTCAAACCAGGACCGGGGTTTGATGATACTTTTTGATATATTTGTTGATATCTGTCATTTTCACACAGTCAGGCAGAGAAGTTTCTCGTTGCTGATTGATTTGGGGTTTGGATGGTTTTCAACAACAGACTGAGAACATCTCCTGCTTAAAACTAAAAGAAAGGAGACATTTGGACAAAAAATTTGGATCCATGTGGAGCTTTGCCCCTGCTGTTTGTTGAGACCCTGGGGTATGGAGGGTTGGGGATGCTTTGCTGGGCTGTGCTCACATCCAGCTGGAGACACCAGCACAGGGGATTTTGGGGCTGAAAGCAGCAGGGTTTGGTGTAGGAGAGAAAAGGGGGGCTCAGCTGAGCTGCTGGCCACAGGCAGCAGGAGCTTGGGCTTTGGGTGGGTTTGGGGTGCCTGGTGGGCTCTCCTGGGTTGTGCCCACCTGGCAGCCCTCACTGTGTGCCTGAGCTCCGCTGCCTCTGCAAGGGACAGGATCAGGGAATTTCTGCCTCCCTGGGCCCCACCCGGGTGAACGGGGGTGACAAATGGCTGTGGGAGGAGGGGAAGAGGAGAGGTGAGCAGGACAGAGGGACGTGTCTGTGCATGCAGGCTGCAGGGACAGTGTGGCTGCACATTCCTCATTCCTTCCCCAAGGCAGGCTCTCCACCTGGAAACGCCTCTGGCTCCTGGGCAGGGTCACCAGTTTGCAAAGGGCCAGGGTGTCCCAGGGCTGGGGATGGAGCTCAGCTTCCCAGGGCTGGGATTCTGAGCCATTGCTGCTGGGCAAGCCAGGGCTCAGCTTTATTAAATGATTGATTGAAGCCATTTGTGCAGTGGTTCTGCCAGAGCTCAGAGCCCAGCCCTGCTCTGGTCCTGCTGTGCTGTCAGGGTGCTGTACTGGGTGCTCTCCTGATGCCAGCAGCTTCAAGGATTCCTCTTTCCCTCATTTTTGCCATTTCTAGACTTCCTCTGCAAAGCAGGGCTTGCCCTAAGCAGGGCAAGGGGTTTCAGTGGTACCCAGTGCCAGCTGAGCTGTGGGTTTGGCAGGATGGGGAGCCAGCATCCTCCCATTCTCCATCACACTTGTGCTGAGCCCTTCATGTGCAGACACACACACAGGGGCTTCATCTGCCCAAAACCTCAGGGGACTTTCCACATTTCCAGAGAAACTCACATTTCCATAGGAACTGAATGACAATCAGGTGACGTGGCCTGCGGGGAGTCCCAAGGGCTTGGAGACCTGACAGCAAATAAAACCAACCTCTGGATGTGTGGTGTTGGGGTTTGTGCTTGTTTTCCTGTCACACTTCGCGTTTGGGTTGGGTTTTTTAAAGCAAATCTCCAGTTTCCTGACAGGGCTGTGTTTCAGATGCCTGTGGGTGTTTGGGGTTGGAGAGGGGGATGCTGGATTTGGCCTCAGCTTTCATGCTGGCAGGATCAAAGAGGGGAGGTGGATCCCACTGAAAACTCACTGATGGTGATGAAAGCATGGAAATTCTCCTTCTTACTTCAACCCCAAATTACTGAGGATTTTTCCATGCTTTGGAATGTGTTAATAGGTTTTTTCCCCAGGCTGAATTCATTCATTATCCCTTTTCCTGTCCCCTTAGGAGAAAGCCAGGCATCCCCTGTGCTGTGCGACTGGAGGATGGGACTAAAATCCTCTCCCTTTTTGGGTTTTCCATCTCTTCCCTGGCCTGCTGCCATGTGTTTCCTGGGGCTGTGTTTTGTGGGATGTTTTGGGGCCCTGTGATGCTGCAGAGGCAGCCGGGGTCACTTTACTGTGTCCCATCACTCTGGGGGGGGTCTGGGGGAGCTGAACTCACACCCTGAGCCTTTCACCCACTCCCCTGGGTGCCCTGGATGGAAATCCAGCTCCTCAAGGGTTCTTTTCTCCTGCTGGGCACATCAGACTCCCCCAGCCTGCCTCACATTCCCCAGACAGAATAGCTGGGATTCCTGCATTCCCTGCCCCAGAATGACCCCGGCTGGACACTGAGCTGCACTGGCATCAGCAGGGACAGGATGGGTCCCCACCACAGCAAGGAGCCCCACAAAGCCCAGGAGAGGCTCTGCTTTGTCCCCGAGGTGTGAACACTGCCCTGGTAGATTTGTTTGGGTTTTGCAGAGGTACCTGGGTGCTGTGGCAGCTCTGCAAGGCCTGGCCTAGGGGGGGAGTGTCCCACATTCCCAGAGGTGCCCACTCATGGGCAGCTCTTTCCTTAAAGCCCCAACTCCTGGAGCCACTCCATCCCTGCAGGAGCTTTTCCCAAACTCCTCGCTGCTGTGGGCAGTGGGGGAAGGAGTTTGGGAAGGAGCACAGAGCAGGGAAAGCCCAAAGGTGGGTGTGAAAATGAACCCTCCTCACCTTGAGGTCGCCCTGAAGATGCACCTTGTGGCCCTCCTGTGCTGGAGGTGGGTGTAGGGGTTTTGGGAAGGGGGAAAATCCCCCTCGTGTGGCTGGGAGCATCTTGGGTGCTGAGGAGCTGCTCTCCAACTCCTTCCTGCCCTGGAGCCAGGACCTTTGGGGGAAAACCCACCCCTGGCGTGGCTGGGGAGGAGCAGGGCTGTGAGAGAGCAGCGGGTGCTGAAGGGTTAACAGGGAGTGTTTGCAGCCAGTCCCTGGTCACCAAGGAGAAGCCATCAGCGCTTGGGAAGGAAACAAAACACCCAGCAGGGCGATTTCCTCTCCCCAGCACCACTGCAGGGCTCGGGGCGCCAGCAGGACACTGCCACCACCCCAGGTGGCAGGGAGCAAGAGGCACCAGGTGAGTGTGGCTGCCGGGGAGGTGACAGGGACAGCACAGGGACAGCCACGTCCCCACCATCCTTCTCCCTCCCAGTCTTATGGCAGAATGTGGGGCACCCCGGGCACGGGGACACGCAGCATCCGTCCCTACCAGTCCAGCGGGCAGTACCTGTATGCCATGAAGGAGGACCTGGCAGAGTGGCTGAAGGAGCTCCATGGCCTTGACATCGAGGTGGGCACCTTCCTGGAGGTGCTGGAGACAGGGGCTGTGCTCTGCTCCCACGCCAACCACGTCACCCAGGTGGCAGGGGAGTTTGCCCAGGTGTGCCCCGAGGTGGCCAAGCACCTCCACCTGCCCTCTGCCGGTGTCACCTGCAACCTCACAGCACAGCCTGGCACCTTCCAGGCCAGGGACAACGTCTCCAACTTCATCCAGTGGTGCAGGAAGGAGATGGGGATCAAAGGTAGGATGCCAGGCCCCAGCTGTCCCATTTCTCTGTGTTTCGCCGTGTGTCCCCCAAACCCAGCGCCACCCCAGCATGGGACAGCACTGTGTGCAGGCATCCCTGAGCTGGCATCCCTTGTGCAAGGTCCTCCAGGCTTGGCAGCAGCTTTGCAGGGTGCTGGCACATGGCTGGAGGGTTTGCTTGGGTGTAAATAGGCACAGGAGGAATGGCAAAGGAAAGGGTGGATGGCACAGATGATGCCAGGCATGGCATGATCCCAGCCCTAAGGACAGCAGGAGAAGTCCTGGCTCCGAGCAAAGCATCTGTCACCCTGTCCTACCCCCATGGATGCCCAGGGAGGGGAGTGGCACAGACTAAGACATCCTCAGGGCTCCCAGGCACTGAGTTTTGTGCCTTTGGGATGCCATGAAACAGCTGCAGATGCCCAAAAGGAAAAGCTCTTCCTCCTGTATCCCTTATCCCAGCTCTTGTTGAACCCAGCCGTATTCCTGGTGGGATGGCTCCAGTGAGGAGCACCCTTTGGGTGGGTTTTGCCTCCATCTGTGCCCCCCATCTGCTCTGTCCCCATCCCCATGTGGATGCCCTGCCCTGCCCAGATGTGCTGATGTTCGAGACAGAGGACCTGGTGCTGAGGAAGAACGAGAAGAACTTTGTGCTGTGCCTGCTGGAGCTGGCCCGCCACGCCTCGCGCTTCGGGGTGCGCGCCCCGACCCTGGTGCAGATGGAGGAGGAGATCGAGGAGGAGCTCCGGCAGGAGATGGAGCTGCCTCCCCCAGAGCCCAGCCTGCCCTGGGCACCCAGGAGGGCACCACGGGACCTGCAGAACCTCGACCTGATGGTGCCAGGGGCAGGGGGGCATGGGGATGGATGGGCATGGGAATGGATGGGGAGGAGCATGGGGATGGATGCAGGTAGGAATGGGGATGGATGGAGATGGAGATGGGCATGGAGATGGATAGGGATGGGATGGGATTGGGGGGGGGCATGGGGATGGACATGGAGATCAATGGGGATGGCTATGGAAATGGATGAGAATGGGCATGGAGATGGATGGAAATGGAAATGGAAATGGAAATGGAAATGGAAATGGAAATGGAAATGGAAATGGAAATGGAAATGGATGGGGGTGGGGATGGGCATGGAGATGGATTAGGATGGCATGGGGATGGATGGAATGGGATGGGGATGGATGGGATGGGATGGGGATGGATGGGGAGGAGCATGGAGATGGATGGGGATGGATGAGGATGGGCATGGGCATGGAGATGGGCATGGAGATGGATGGGCATGGGCATGGAGGTGGAAGGGGAGGGACATGGAGAGAGATTGGATGGGCATGGAGAT